AGTCAAAAGGAGACGGTATTAAAAAAAAAACCAGCTGAACACACCCTTGGGTGTGCAGAACGGAGACAATTAATCGGCAGATTATCGTCTGCGTTTAATATGTGTGTTCACGTTTGGCGAAAACAAACACTGAGAAAGCAAGATCGTAGAGATGGAAAGTTAGTCTAAGAAGGCATCTTGCTCCATGTCCTGCAAATGCTATCTTATTTCAAAACGCCTTTAAAACGAAGCAATTCTCGTGTTGTATTATTAAGTGGACAGGAAAATAAAATATACATATTCGTTTCACTCTACCTAGTTGGGTTTTTTTCTATGTTTATTTCCTTTTGAGGTGTCAAATGGTGGGTTTTATTTTTCCCCATGAGCTTTTGTATACAACTTGAGTCAAGACAACCGAAGGTTTATGTCAAATCAATATCAACCATTTTGCTGCCCCAAAAAGGGTAAAAAACAGTACAAACTTTGTCCAGTAAAAGTGACAGCTTACTGGAGGGGGTGATAGATATCTGAGGAAGTCTCTTACACTTTCATGGACTAGAAAACTGAGTGACTGGGGAATCAATTTCCAGTTCAGTTCGTTCTGTATAACAACCCTAACTGAAACTTGATTCACTCAGTTTCTTAACCCTAATTCACTGGGTGACCAATGCTAAACAACACCGGGAGTAGCTTTCAAAATTTTACCAGATGTTCTGAACTGGACTGTACTCTTTACCGCAGTTGATTTACTTTTGACTAATATCGAACAAAAACTACAATCTTCTGATACGATATCAATGATTTGGCAAAGACTGCCTTCTTAGCGGGGCTCCCGCGCGCGCGAAGCGCGCGTGGGACAGAGACCAATTCTCATGGAATATGGTCAACCTCTTTTTCGTTTGGTTGTCACGTGATTGACCGAGCGTGCGTACGTACATACGTACGTACGCGTCTACAGATTGTACGGGTGGCGTAGGGGAGACTATCAAAAGGAAGGGAGGGGTGTCTGTGGTGTGTCTTGGCAAGTCCACATCTTTAATATAGGATTTTAGGACATTCACAATATGGTCAATTGACAGCTGTCAAAACAGGATAGCCACTGACCAGTATCCCATGACCATATCGCGGGCTCATGTGTCAACTCATCGACGTGACGTGATTTATTTGGAAGCTGTCCGCTGACCAGTTAATTGTTTTACTAGATCGCGAACAATGTTCAATCTCATACTTTTACAAGTTAAACTGATAAAGCACACATATTGGACATCAATGTTTTGATCAATTGACAGCTGTCAAAACGGGGTACCCGCTGAACAGTATCACTTGACCGTATCGCGGGCTCAGGTGTCGACCCATCGAGGTCAAGTATTTTTTGAAGTTATCCGCTGACAAGTTACTAGTTTTCAAGTGATCGCAGGCTCAAGTTCAAGTTTTTTCTAAATTCATATGAAATGTGTTGTGTTTATGTGTAGCCTCCCCGCTAACCTGAGATCAGGCCCAATTTGAGCGGTTCTCATACATTCTCTCTAACGGCTACCGCTGAAATTGGGCCTGATACAAACTATTACAAGTTTGTGCTCGTTACGGCCAGATTTTGGCCGTAACGCTGATTGGCTGTTAGAACAATGCCACAAGATCTGATTGGCTGTTGGAAACGCCGGAAGTTGAAAGCGCTTATTCCTCGCGTGGTTGTTTTCGTGAATGATCTGTCGTCGGTGGAGGGAAGGATCGATTTTGCTGTCTTTTTTATTGTTTTATGGTCTTATGGTAGGAAAATATGCCTTAATATGTGCCATGGAAATTCAGAAAATTCATGTGGTTGTTCATATCTTCTCAGGATTTGCTTTATATACGGAAAGTGAGTGTATCGCGGACTTGAATCCCTCTGCAGGTTGTTGACCGCTAACAAGGTGCATTTTGATTTACCAACAAACGGGTGCAAATCAAAATACTGTCCATCTTAAAACTGGTTTCATTTGAAAGTTTAGCCGGGAATGACTCCTCTGAACGGGGTACGCAAGCGGAGGCTCATTGCAAAAGAAACCTCAATCGCCAACTGTGAAGTATTAGACGAAAACTATCGCATCGCTGTTCAAGGAATTTTCAGTGTTCACAGATTGGTTGTTTGACTACGCTTTTTGTTAAAAGTAAACCAAGAAAACTGGTGTCCTCGCTCGTAGGCTGTTTGCTTTTGTTTTTAAAGATTTATGTACTGAGGCGTGAAAGACGATTCGTAAAACTCAGTACAGTAGTTTAAGTTATGATGAATGATAGAGATTTCAATATTTTAAATTCCAGAGCGCCTAGCCAAAATAATAAAACTAGTAGAACATCGTGTCGCCGTCTTTTCGAAAACTTTTTACCTTCTACGCCAACAGAAGTAACCTTCGAGATCTCCCTTAATCTCGCAAGAAGTTAAATGTGATTGTGCTGACTGTTTTATTTTTAGCTGAAAAAATTAACAGATAAAGCTATTAAATAAGTCAGCCAGTCTGCATTTTTCCCACACGTGAAAAATTTGCATACTAGAAAAACAAGCAACGGAAGTAATTCTGATTGGCTGATTCGGCAAATGTCAATCAATCAAAAAAGTGGGCGGCAGACATTTCGTTAAAGGTTTGTATCAGGCTCTCTTTTCGTTCCGCCTTGCCCGCCGGAATGTAATTTTCAAAGCGAAACGAAAATAGAGCCTGATCTCAGGTTACCTCCCCGCAGACGTCCGTTGGGGTTCGTTTGTCACGCATTCATTGTTCCGTCGTCCGTTGGGGTTCGAAATGAATGCGTGACAAACGAACCCCAACGGACGTCTGCGGGGAGGCTAGTTTATGTGCTACACAATTAAAATTTTGATTGCAAACTGAGCTCGGACGCGAAAATTCAGCCAGCTGTTACAGGCAGGCAAGACAGTTGCTTTTGACTTTTCTCACCATGGTCACGCGTTGGTCACGCTCTACGTCCAATTTTTATGCTCTGATTGGTCAAAATTTGACAGGAGAGTTCATGCGGAAAATTTAGGCAGCATCTTGAATCTTGTTTACTTTGACAGCTGAAGCTGACAGAGTTTTGTGTCAACTTGTGATGTTTTTAACTGTCTTTTTCCACTGGATGTGCAAAATGAAATTCAGCGGCTATCAGGAGTCCTCTGTTGTTCATGGCTAGTTTGTTTATTAGGTTTTTGGTTGAGGAATACGTCGCTTGTCAAAGTCGGAAATCCGATTTCGGATGGCATCGTTTTCGTTTTCACCTTGCTTGATGCGTAAGAGGATTGCAAAGTCTGAAGCGATACTGGCTTTTCTTGATACCTTTCAGGAGCTACATCTCGAATGGTAAGCCAGAGAAATTATTGTATTTGATGTTTGTTTTTTTGGATCTAATTTAATGAAGTCGAGGGGAGTTTATGTGGTCATTTAGTTTATGCACGTTTGTAAGATTTGAGACAATGATCAGATCTGACCGAGTATCAGGTTCGATATAAGCTTACAGAACTTTAAAAAGCCTTTAGACAGTTTCTCACCGCAAATAGAAAGAAAACGTTCCAAAGAATATTTAGTTATAATTCTGGCCGGAAAAGAAAGCTTTGAGCGATTTTCTTGCCTCGAGTTCGTCTTTGAAAAAGGCAAACACCGGGAAGCCGGCTTAAAACATAAACTTAAGCTTGAAGCTTAGAAGACTCAGGATTTTTAGGGATACTTTAATGCTTGTCTTCCTGAATGAAAATTGTTGTTTCTGTATATGTTTCACCGAATTATCTTTCTTTTATTGATTGTTAGTAGTCTCTCTTGTAATTTTAATCGCTGTGCCGATTGTTTTCAGTCATTCAGGGAACATCGCTTCCAGGAGTACTCAAAATGCCGCGCGTTAATAAACCATTAAATAAAAAATAAACAGAATAAATTCTTTATAATGTTGGAGCGTAACTCTGTTAATGTTCATTCAAACACTCGCCACAGCTCGCACTACAAAAGTGAGAACCGGATGGCCGTATAGGTGATTTTGGAAATTTTTTTAACAGTTTATGAATATTGAATGAGTGCAATTTGTATTGTAAAATACTGCTTTCTGTCTGAGATCTGCCGGTATGATAAAAACAGTGCCTCATACTACTGTTTCACCTCAGATGTGATGTATAAATGGTATAAAAGGTTGGTTTACACGCACCCAGATTTGTTGACAAGATTTTGCAAAGTAAACTTGTCGAACGCAAAAAAGTTGGCCTGATCTTTTTTTCCACTAATTAATCTACGGTGATTGAAGATGATTACCAGTTTTTGGGTGTACATATGAGGCTATCAACTCGATGTAAGATTTGGTTCACTCTTGGGCTGTTTGCAAATTATTTTTCTCTAAAATCAGGTAGCCTTTCCCTCAAAAGTCACATGAATGTGCTCTAAAGTTAACTGAATTGTGGAATTCGAATACAAGTTTATTGTTTAATTTAAATTGTAAATTTATTAATAGAGCCTCGCTTTTAGCCCTGGCTAAATCTATATATTATCTTTAATCTATTTTGCACGTGCACCAGGATCAAAGAATGATCTAGAGGGTGAACGGCTCACTACCTTACGATTGGAAAGGTGTCAAAATGTCGAGATTTCACGGTTCTATGACTCGTACAGAAAATTGACCATTGATTAGAGCTAACAAGCAGCATAACTTTCATTTGACTGCTGGTTGCGTCAAAGAGATCAGTACCTCGCAGTTTCCGTGGTAAGTACGCTGCTTCCTTTACACTTACATAATCAATAACTCCTATTTTCTAAAGTGTTTCTCAGTGTTCGTGGCTGAAGAAGCAGTTGGTTAATTGGTGATTAGAATAGTGCTCCGAGCTAGCCATAGGGTAAATTCGGGTTTTCGGTCCCAGAAGCTCATGCATAAGTTGTGTTTGTGTTTCCTGATGATTCTCGTCCCTGCATGCAAGCTATTGTCTACAGCATAAGTTTGGGGCTAACTGCTTGAACGGGAGAAATCTTAATGTGGAACAGTTGAGGTTCAACTTCATTCTGAAGGCGATACTAAACTACTTGGCATAAAGATAGACAACTGTTTTTAAACAACCGTATCGAATATAGGAAAGCGACTTGGCCTTTTGAAAAGGACAGATAAATTTCTGACTGATCTAAACTGAGAACTTTGTTTTTCAACTCACTTATCCAGCTAATACTTGCCTACGGGCGTTGTTGTGTGGGGAACATGCAATGAAGCAAACAAGCCGCACGTCCAAGACGTAATCAATTTACATAAACGAGGGGCCAAACTAATCGTAGACAAAAAATGAGACACCCCCCTTGGGGCCTTAATTTAGAGACCTTAACGTCATGCCATGATTTGATAAAAGATAAGTAATTAAAAAGTCCCAGTATCTCAGTACAGCTTTTCTATTTTTGGAAATATTTTGATCCGCGAGCCACAACAAGCAATTACCCCATCACGGAGCAAATTTAGAGTCACATGACTTGAGGCTTGTTTTCAGGAACTTTCTATATGAGAAGAGTAGTCTTGCATGCGTCGCAGCCGCTCTAAACCTTCTGTATAGAGCGTCTGCAAATTTGTCGCAAAGACATATGTCAGCGTTTTTGATTGGCTAGTTTCTAAGGGCTAAGCTGCTCTGTTGCTTCAGGAAGGCCAAAATGAGATCCCATGTCTATTAAGAGTTTTTCAACTTGATTGCCTTGGCCCGTGAACCCGTAAGGTACGTGGGGGGCGCAAAGGAGAGACAAATGACATAGGACTCCTATGTGCTTACTCCGTTAAAAATGATTTTTAACACTTTCTGTCAAAGAGTACGCCTGCTAATTTACTGTAAGAGAGATTTCCAGGAAAAGCCAAACATCAGGGTGACATTTTTCTTCTGCAAAACTAGGTGAAATTTGTTTAATCGTTACCCATTTTCAGTTTGCGTGCCACCATAGTCATTCTCCAACAAAAGAACTTAGTTTAGAAGATAATTTTCATGGTTCATAACAAACAAAAGTTCCTGTTTGACGCTTGCTGTTAGCCACTAAAACTAATCTGTAACTCTTCAATTTTTAACAGTTCTGAAGAATCTTTTCTTAACTCGTAAATTGAAAAGTTTGGCTCAAAGTTTTAACTCTAAATCGTAGAGAGAGATGATGAAGGTTAAATTTCCTGAACCCCTAAAGTTTAGTTTCATATTAAGTAAAAGCAGTTAAAATGGATGCTTTCATTCTATTTCTCCGAAAAAATAGACTGCTGGCAGTCCACCTTTTCTCTTAAAATCTGTCTAGTTCTTGTCTAATCCAGCGCGATTGCAAACCACGATATATTATTATTTAGGGATTGAGACTAGACGAGAAAAGACGGACTGCTGACTCTTTTGTGGTACACAAACCCTTCGTCGGCCCAGAAACGGAGTAACCGATTGGTCAATTGCACAGCCGTTGACAGATCATTGACTGATCTGCGGTGAGATTGTAAACAATAAAAAAAGTCACGCGTCACAACCAACTGCAAACAATACCAAACCAAGCAGAATCTCAGCAATATAAAAGTTTTAGGATATCTTACAGAAGGAAACTGCTGTAAATTTCCTCAAGGGAAACGAATTCAAGGCAATCTTACCGGATTTAAAGAAAGTGTAATTTTCTCAGTTGTTTATGTTCTGTTTATAAATCGTTTCAAGTTACTCAGGTTTAATTGATGAATAAATTACCTTGACAGCTTCGTTGTCCCCGGACAGAACAAAAGAGTCAGCAGTCTCTTATTTTTTCTTCTCGGGCTTTACGCCCTTATTTCGCGGTTTCGTGCAGAAACTTTGCAAAGAAAAATAAGAGACTTCTCGCAGTCTACTGAAAAAACAAAACGGGTTGTGTTGACTTTGTTGAGCCTTTTGTCAGTGTTTCAGCTTTGTGTTATTATTCACCTCCACTTACGATACAATATACCATACCAACATATGGTTTTGTTTCGAACCTCTGAAAATAATTAAGTGCAAGAACTCAACCTTTCAAATTCTAGTTGGGAAAGCTTTCTACGACAAGGTGTTGAGAAAGTATCTTTTGTCCTTATATCGTGCTATTGTCCTGCTAGGAAGTCTGCTCTTGTCACTACTCCCCTTTAATTTAATTTACCAGAGAAATTTAGTTTTTGTTCAGCAGATTAACTTGCGACTAAGAAGCATCTCTTTGTTAAGCTATTTCCATGAATTATATCAGCGGAAATAGGATAAATAAGTTATTTTTCTTTTGTAATTCTCAATCTGGAAGTTTCCTAGTTTTCTACCAATGCGATCCCAGAATGTGCATTGCGTAACAAACAAAGGGCCATCAAATTAACCAATCAAAAGCGGTCAAGTCAAACGTGATCCCCACATCTTGTAAACGTGAGTGGCTACTTCAGTAATAAATTCGAAATCAATTTTTTTTGGGAGTCACTACAGCCATAGCAACTTGTTTTCAGGGGAACAGCTATTCCAAAATACGTATTTGTGATGGCATGATAACACTCTTAAATTTATTTATTCATTTTATTTAGTCACTCACAAAACCTAATACAACATGAACA